CCATGCGATTTGGTCTTCACCTGCAGGTGCTGCAATTCAGATCCAAAATAACCCCACACTAAGATGGAGTGCAAAGCTCCCCTACCAAAGGGAAGCCCAAATAGGTTTAAACACTATGAAAAAATCTAGGGCAAACTATAGCCGATTTAGCCTTATTTGTTTTGGCCTCTATCGACCTCCCTTGGATAAGGATGCAACCACTGCTTTTTGCCAAGGTGCTGAACCATGATTCCAATTCCTCATACTGTCCTGAGGGTCCCAAATATTGTTTAAAGAACGAGTTGGTGTGATTGGCCAGTGTTTCTATGAAAGTCAAGTGGCGCTTCTGTTCTTCTTCATCGAACCATGGGTCCGTGTTCTTCAAAGTGGTGAACCGTTCCCAAGCCTGGCAGGTGCATGACGGTGTCTCAAATTAGAAGGTGGAAACAGGGTGTGCCTTGTCGTTCTTCTGCCCAACCACTCCCTCACAAGAAACAAAACCAGAAGTGCACTGCTCGACCGAAGACCAGCCAGCCTCGTTCTGAGATTTGGCCATCTCATCGTCCTGGCATTGATCTTGAGACATCGTGTCACACCGGATCTTGGACAATTTGGCGGGATGAGCTCTTGGAAGAAATGGGGTGGGAAACTCAGGGCGTGTCCGACAGCGTGTCCTGGTAATGGTTCCAATACTCATCCGGGTGATCCATCCCATCCTCGTAGGGCCCAGCCTCACAAGCCACAAGATTCCAGTGAATTCTATCCCCACAAGTCTGGGCAGGCCTCCTGCTCAGAAAAGGCTGCCCCAGCCTTTTCCTGAATTTTTTGGTGGCAAGAAAAGAAAAAGCAATGGCCGGTTGATCGATCGAAGACTCCTCCCCATCGATGGCGTTGGAGATCGGGTTCCATGCAAGTTCGTCCTCGCGTTCAAAGCGCCATAAAAGGAAAGCAATGGTTTGTTGAAGAGTCCTCCCCATCATCCCCATCTTCATCTTTGGAGATGTTCCACGCCGAACCGTCCTCGCATTCAATTCGCCATGCCTTTTGACCATAACAGGTTAAACTACATTTGCTTGTCAAGTGGTTCAAAAGTGCATGAGCTTGAGCGTTGAGTCCTCCCAAAAGGTGGGCTCATCAAGATCCTGGCAAGTACAGGGGGATAGAATTTCTGTTCAACAGTTTTGTGCACCACATAACTCTGCTGGCCTCAAGCCACCAGTTGGGATCATAGCTGGGCCCGTAGGTGTGCCACCAATCAGCATTTGGTACCTATTCACACACAGAGATTGAGCGCGCTTTGCAACTTGGAGCCCTAACTAGACATGTACTTGAAGTGCGCCTCAACACCAACTTCATCCTGTTCCTGGCAGGATTGAAAGGTTTATGAAGGGTTCAGATCGATGTCCCAGGGCACAGGCCTTCTTCTTCTTCTCAATGCATTTCTTTGGAACAGGAGGTGGCAACATCAGGCTGGCCTAGCGATGTTGTAGGTGCATACATAGCGCATGTTTTCATGACTGATTCTTCATTGTGGTGTCCTGATCTTTCCAAGATCCGCTTTCGAATCCCAATGGTTGTATTCTTACAACGCAAAAAGCTGGACACCACATATATGTAGTATTTAATATACAGAATAGAATACAGAAAAGAAGAACACACGTCAGGCCAGTTGAGGGAAACAGATGGGCCTGGTCTCCAATATCTTCATCACTGCACCTCGATCAAGCGAAACAAAACATCAATCCGGGCCAGCCAAGGATTTGAGAAGTGGCCTGTTGCAAGCTGCTTCGACGGCAGCAATCTCCTGCACTTCCTGCCAGAGGGGCGATGACCAATCTGAGGTGATTTGAAACTCAGCTGCATCACATGTGCGCCCACCTCGCTCGACAGGGGCTGTGTCTCCAGGGCGTCCATTCTTGGAGCAGGGGCTTTTTGGTCAGGTACTGTGAGTTTGCGCTTCCGAGCCAGGACAAGTAGCGAGCACATTCGAATCCACTCATCCTTTGGCGTCACGCCTAAACCAAACTCTTCCCTCAACAAATTGCACACCTCACGAGCCAAGGCCTTCGTGAGAATCCTTCCTTTCCCAAAGTACTTGTTGATCCACCCACCAAAAAGCTGCCTCAAACTTGACCGCTTCAAGGAACCAAGGGGAAGCAACCGGTTGGTTCCATGAATGCGGGTTTGGTGGCTTTCTTCTCGAAGCCTTTTGGCAAGACGTTTTGCGATTCGAGCAGCAAATCGCGCGCGAACTTCCTGTTGTTTCCGCTGTCGAGAGGGCATGGCAACACTTTGATCTGGGCAGATCAAGGTTCAAAGGCTACGTATTCTTTGAAGGTTGTTGGGGGTGATCATTGTTTTTTACTACATGATCCTGCCCTATATATATACAAGCTTTTGGGTCCATGTGTACAGCCACTTGAGCTAAATTTTGAAGGTTCAATTCAAACACACTTAGAAAGCAAAGACCATCAAAAGTCCCATGTCCACCGGCCTCGATCTGAGGAATGGCCGGATCACATGGGGTGTGGCAAAAGTGCGTTCAGCACGATCGCTTCCGGCGGGCGGTTGAGATAGATTGATTATGATTGGTTGTTATTGAGATTGGGCTCCCAGAAAAACTTCATACCCTCCTGATGGAATAGACGAGTTTTTCAGGGTTGGACCATTGAAGGGAAACATCCTTTAAGTCTTATATATTTGGGTTACGAGTTACAACGACCATGCATGGTGAATGTCGTTGAGCCTGTGTTCCCCTGCGAAATGCACAAAACGAGAAGCCGCAAACTACAAAACATCCACGCACACCACAAAATCTTCCACCAAGCAAGTCAAAAACAGACTTGCCAGCGCCTCAGATCGTAAAAAGCGGAGGTGTAGCTGAGCTAAGTTTGTTGGCCATGGGTTCACTTGATCACAAGGGGAGGTGTAGCTGAGCTAAGTGTTGTGGCAGTGGTTCACTTGATGTACAAGGGGAGGCGGTAGCTGAGCTAAGTTTTGTGGCAGTGGGTTTGCTTGATCATCAGGGGTCTATAAGACACTTGGCAAACTCTAGCTATAAGGCCGGTCAACCTGCGCTGGCTGTCTGTCCAAGTCCATCGTGCCGGATTCCCAGAATTTATGGTAGGCATTTTGCATGCCAATGCGCAACTTTGTCGTAAGAAAGGCATGCCCAAGATCGCTGCCTGCCTGTCTAGGTTCATTAGGAACAGTATGACCATGCATGCTGACTACCTTACCGGAGATGGAAATCTCGCGGTCAATAGGTGCTATGATGCACAAACTGTTACGGGCGTCCGCTGTGGGCTTACCCACCATTATGTCCGAGAGTACATGACCCTGGTAAACGAGCACTATATACCAGGCGTGAACTGAAACATCTTAGGATCAATGCCTCAATTCACAGCTCAACACCGGCAGACTTCGAAGCTCGATGGATATCCGAACACCTTATAAATCGTACGAACCGTGTTGAATGCAACAAGTACGTTTTTATCCATCAGAATTTGACCCCATTTTCGGAGTGGCAATATCGTGGATGAAGTGGTATGGCCATCAGAACATGGTTTGCCATAAATACGCCAAGAGCGACAAGTCCGGTCATGATCCAAGCGAAATCCACCAAGGCCTAACTTTTGATCCAGTACTCGACGATCGAGATGATCTGCCGGACAAGGCTGGAGCTATTCATCCTGCACCTAAGCTCCCATATACCGCTGAGTGCTGCGAGAGATTTAAGCACTTGCCTCACGAAGCACTCCTGGTTGGAGGAAGCGATCAAAGTTGGCATTACCCTCTGCAAGTTACAATCAAACATGTCCAATCAGCAGCCACTGGCCGATCTGATGCCTAAGACCTTGAAATGCCGTTCGATGCTTTCGGTCTCACCTTCTTCTTTAGGGCCTGTAGCTTGATCACTGTACATAGCAGATTGCTCAGTATGAACTTTTGAAAAAGAGAATTTATATATTATAACGATCACCCTTGCGTCAGTTATTGACCAAGGCAATTTCATGCACAGAGGTTAGTAAAATTGTGTCTGTTTTGTGTTTCCTTTTTCCATGAACTAACCTCTGTATGGTCTCACATCTCATGTACATATATGACTGATACGGTTGGCTCAAGACTGAGAAAAGCCGCTTGCTATCGCAACCGACTGCATTCGACCGCATCCGAGCATCGTTCGAGCGAACCTCTCTCGAGACCCCGTGTTCTTTCCAAGGGAAACCCACTGCATTGCACTTCGTGTCACCCCCCCCCCCCCCCCCTTTGTGTGAAGTGAATCAATAGATCCCCCCCCTCCCCCCCCTTAACGAATTGAAGCGGTATTGATTAGGGGGGGGCCTCCCCCACCCAAGGGACACGACATCACAAACATATTCTCAGGGGATTATGTTTAAGGTGTTTTCACGATCGTCGTGTCGTCGTCATCGCTTTCGTTCCCCGCCTCTCAAGTGTTCAATCATGTCGTTGACTGGTATGACTTGACTTCTTTCATTTTCTTTCAGCCCAAATATATATATATATATTTTTTTAAATATATTTTATTGAATTAAACTATATTATATTATATATATAGCAGGACCCTCCAACAGGTCACCAACAGCGACATGTAAGTCTCCAAAAGCATCCAGAGGAGACCTGTTGGAGTGTGCTGGTTTTTGTTTGTTCAAGATGTTCAGTACATTTATTACTTTGTTGGACGCTGGGGACAGGAAAATGTATTATATTCTGTGTTCGTGAATGTGGATGGAGATTTAGCGGCTCTTGTGAGAGCGAACTACGCTTGCTACAAGCATTTCCATCATTGTTGGGTCATGATTGCAACAATTTAAGCGAGCTGCTGACGTGCAATTTGGTGCCAATGCAGGTGGTACAGAAAGCAGCGAATGTGTACTTCAATCAAGGAACCCCTAATCGAAACAAACAAATAGATCAACACCAATTCAACCAAACGGGTCCCCTGTTTCAATACACACGTCATAGCTGTTGATCATTGATTTCCTGAAAAGCGCAGCTAGGTCACGATTGCGTCAATGCTGCTCGCAGAGGCTGGATTCCTCGGTTGCCACGGACGCCACAGACTGCTATGACACGGTCGTTCATCACCAAAAATGGGGTAGAATTCATCGTCAACATGCAAAAAACAGCCGGGATGCCACTTGTGGGTCTGGAGCCGAAAAGTAGAACAATCTCTTGTTTTTGTCCCATCTGTTTTTCTCTGGTTTTGCCTCAATGTTGGCTTCAAAATCAAAAACATGGCACTACATTTCGCAACGAAAAGGACCCCTCCCGCGACAGCCAGAACACCATCAGGTGGTGGGTCTCGTGTTGCTCTTCTGGATGCGGCGTGGCAAAGCCAGCGATTTCCACATGGATCTGGGCGCCTCAGCACATGAGTGACCTAATGTACTGTAGGTTATTGATGTCCAAAACCCCCCAATATGGAGAGGTTCTACATGGAGGAAGTCTCGCATCCCATGCGGATTGGCGTGGGTTTGGTGGAAATGCGTTTGTGTGTGTTTGTGGCCGTGGGGGAAGCGAAACATGATGGCGTAAACGCGGCGTGTCGCTGGTGAGTGTCCCACAAGAATGTCCTACAAGATTGTTCCTCAGGAGTGCCCCACAAGAGTGTCTGTCCCACAAGAGTGTCTGTCCCACAAGAGTGTCGCACGAGAGTGCCCCACAAGAGTTTAGTGTCCCACAGGAATTTTCCGAAGAGTGTCCCACAAGAGCGCCTCCTACAAGAAGTGTCCTACCAGTTTTTCCGACAAGAGTGTCCAGCAAGAGTGCTCCACAACACCGTTCCACAAGAGTGAGTGTCCCACAAAAGTGTCGCACGAGAATGTCCCACCAGGGTTTTCCACAAGAGTGTTCTAAAAGAGTGTCCCACAAGAGCGTCCGACAAGAGAGTACCCTACAAGAGTGTCCAGAGTATCTCCTACAAAGGTGTCCCACAAGAGTGTCTTAAAAGGGGTGTCCTACAAGAGTGTCCCCCAAGAGTATCAAATAATGGTTGGCCGCTTGTTTTCGAATGTGTTCGATTGCAGTTGGACATTTGATTCGTGGGCTCCATCTTGTTGTTCCCGAATGCGTAGCGAGGGGTTGTGCTTCAGTCAACCACGTTTCTTGAAGCTCTTTGGACGACGGTGTCACACTGTTTTGTTTCAGTCATATTTTGTTTGTTGGGCAACCCGCACGCGGCCACTTGAGTAGGGCTGCGATCCCTTGTAATTATGCGTGTGCCTTGTTTGATATTTTTGTTCACGTAGCCAGCCCGAACAATTTTTCAGGATGGGGCTGTAGTGCCATCAAAACCTGAAGGAACCTAATGTGAGAAAACAGTGCATTGCCTCCAATGCATAGAGGACTACAGGTCGACAGATAGCAAACTGTCAGAAAAGATCGGTCAATATAGATCACCAGACCCTCCATGCATGGAATAGTTGCTTAGGAACTTAGGATCCTGTTGATGGGGTAAATGTTAACTATGCCAGTCCCATGGATGGTCCGGGATCAGTCACCCCATGAAACGGTGCCTTTTTGGCCCACCATGGTCTGGGCCGAGAGCCTTGAGAGGGCAGGAAGTTCGGTTCACAGCAGGATCGTTTGGTCTTGGTTTATCCGCATAGAGGCCCTTCCGACTCGCCTGCTTGGTAATATTGCTTCCTAGACCTTCAAAGGGGTGTGAAAAAATGGAGATTCACAGGTAGTGTAGAGCAGTCCAGCCAGTAGACCAATGGACGTTGGTTGATTTTCCGATCTCCGGCATCGGGAGAACGTGTGTGGTCGGCATCAAGGTATGGGGCTCATGTTAATGTGCATTGCCGTCACGTGTTCCCCACGAGTCTTGCATGCACGCCTTATTCAGATGGCGGTGATCAGTGCTTTTCGGCTGCAATTGGTTGATCACTGCGACTCACAGGACCGTTCAACCAAGTCACGCCTCCTTCTTCGATCAAAGTGTTGAGCTATAGTTTGCGTCTTCCATGTGCGCAGGCAGGGATTGTGAGAATTTCACTCTTGCCTTTGGCCACGACCTTCCTTTCGGCTGCATCCTCAAACATCCTCCTTAGCTTGGCCATCCGCCTACGGCTGGGCATGCAGCTGATGCTGTCGCCAGGCTCCAAACGAAACACACCGGGTGAGCAAAAGAAGTCTAAACCTAAGGCCCGAATTCAAGAGATGTTCAATTGACAAATTGCTGGTAAAGTGACAACCTATAGCACTTGATCATGGTGATGAACAAATGGTTCTGTCCCTCCCGAGCCTTTGAATTTCCTGTCCTGCATGTCATCGCTCAATCCGGCGGTCCAATGGCCGTCGACCTCGCTCAGCTTCGCTCAGCTTTGCACAGCCACGCAGCCGTGGAGTCTGCGTCAAAACCACTCCGAGAACCGGAAGCGGACGCGAGGCGGAGACAAGCTCGTGGAATGGTATGAGCAGCTGGCCATTTTGGAACTCGTGATTTTGGTGTGGCTCGGCGGAAGGTTCGGATGATTCAAAGGCGAATTACCAACGGGATGAAAGACATGGTAATAATGGAATGTGGAAGAAAAAGCCAGACAAGCATGGCATATTTACCGACTTTTTGGGCTAGTCTCAGGGCTCAGTGCATACGCCAGTTATGTAACATGCAGTATCATACAGTATATTACGTTACAGTATTATATAAAACAATAGTTTAACAACGAAAAACACCACCAACGACCACAACAACCAACAACCAAAAACCAACAACCACAAAAACCAACAATCTACAACCAGCAACCACAACAACAACAACAAACCGCAACAATGACAACAAACCACAACCAAAATGCAACCGTGCAACAGCTATACAACGCCAAGGTACGCATATTGTTATTACAGTTTCGTGGAGTGTTTGGCATGAAGCTCACACGCGGATAAAATGTGTTCGCTTTGACTACCAAATGCCACTCACAAGTCTAAGTGAAAAATGGGCTAAGAAAACGGGCGTGGGTAGTATGCAAAGTGGTCCAACCCTGAAACCTCCAAACGCATGCAAAAGCTTGAAGTTGCAAATCTCAAGTTCTTGTATTTGTAAGTCAAAACATGGAACAATCAATCATCGAGCGATGGGTGCAAGTCTGCAGAACTCATTGGCCCTTACAACAAAAACCAAAAAAAGGAACCGTCTTGTTCTAGGTGCGAAGCAGGGACCAAAGCTTAAGATCCTCTAGCTGTCACTCACAGACCTAGGAGCAATCAACACAGGTACGTTTCCACGAGAACATAGATGGGTCTTCGTTGGCCTGTGCCATGTGTGCGTCCATGAGCCTTCTGCTGATAAAGGATGCAAAATAAGCTGAACAGCTCCCAGTGATTTGATGGGCTTCACACTGAAGCAGGTTGATCCCCAGGTTTTGTTCAACTAGATGTGTTGTTGGGTCGTCGACCGAGCTTCGAAGCACCAAATGGGCACTTCTTGATTAGGGTCTAACGCCTGGCAGCCTGGCTTTTGAGGGCGGGTTTGCACTGACAGAATCTGCCTGCAACTGGACACCTGCAGCAGTTTGGTCGTTGGAAACGAGGAGAACTTTGGAGGCTTTTGGAGGTGGTCACCATGATGGAGGGTCCTGGTAGCTATAGTTTGAACTTATTCAGATTTTACTTGTAGCTGGCCGAAGCTTGGTGCCTCTGACCCGGCGTCCGGAAGCCTGACCCCACCCCGGACGGAAAACAGACCACCGCCACATCCATCAAATGTACCACCGAAGTGGTAAGTTGAAGCACATATACCCTGGAAGAGACCCACATAGAAACCTGAAAATCACTGGGTTGTAGAGGAAAGTAGTCTTCCAAAATCTTCCAAAGGTCCATTTTCAGGTTCCATGTGGGTCTCTTCCCAGGTGTATACCCTCGATCCTGATTAATTATCAAGTCTTTTGGTGTGGATACTATTTGTGACGTCTCTTTTGTTTCTAGACATGCCCACCCAAAGCTGATGTCTAGATCTTCCTCACCATCAGCTGTGTCCAGCTGTGTCCCGATGTCGGAGCCATTTTTTGTTCTGCTTGTCAGTGCTAAGTGAGTGCCCAGCCAGCTCTAATCAAATCCGCCCGAGCGGTGTTTTTTTCAGCCTCGAGGCTTTGCCTGTGCCTTTGGCAGACGCTCCAGATGGCTATGGGGATGAACGCAGACCTACAGCTCGAAACAGAAGACCTGCGCGCAGAGGGCTCGGCTTGTGCCTCATTGTTGCTTGGTAAATCAAACGGCTTGGGCAAGCAAGTCATTTTGGGGATGAACATGAGAACATATCACTGTATCCCTGTCAAGTTTCTATATGAACTCATATATGAGCTCTGGTGGGACTGGACTCAACTACGCCGGCGTTTTCCACTCTCGAAACCAACAGACCGCGTGACCCATGCATGTGACCTGCCGTGGCACGTGCTGCCGCGTCTCCCCCAGGCTCTCCACCGTGTGCGATGCGCACTTCTTCTTGGACGCCCAACTCCGCTTCGAGCGCGACGAAAAGCGGGGCTTGTCGTCCATCTTGGTCGAAACCAATGCTCCAGCAGGTACACCATTTGTATCTGTGCTGAACTGAAGAGTTGATTTTCGATAAGAGACATGGACCGGTCGAAAACGCACGGAACCATCCAGCTGCTGGGTACGTGTCGGACCATCCGTGTTGGGGAGCAAGAAGCCAAGACAATCATTCTTGGGTATTGAAGAAGACCTGACCGGCACCACAAGATGTTTTACAACTGCAAAAACTCCGTCCCCTCTTTGATCTCTCATTTGATCTCATTTGTGTTGATTTCATGTTACCCTTCGGCCAAGGTCAACTTCCTGGCACAAGTCGAGGACAAAGAACGCTTCACCAATGTCAGAACCTCATTCCGCCTGGCGAGTTGGCCTGGCTGCCTGCTACCCAGTGAAGTACGTGGAGAACCTGTAACACTACCTTTTGGGGAGTAAAATGGTCACCGATGAATCAGAAGGGGAATGTGGGAATTGACTCAGAGTCGGGGCGTTTGGGTCCCCGTTGGACAGACGCCAAGAGGTGTTTTCAGTGGTAAAATCCTACTGGTGGAAAGTTCAGTTCACTTCCTAGACCTACAGTACTACAGAGACCTGTGCAAAAATGGAGATCCACGGGTAGTGTAGTCTCGCCAGGAGACCTTAGCCTTGCGAGTAAGAATGAGACGAGAATCAAAGCCTGGCACGTCTCGGTGAGGACATCAAAACGGATTCCCATGGTTTCTGCGACCCAGATGGGAATCCGACCTCCAATCTGCAGGGGTTTGGACCCGAACCACACCCTTTCCATTTTCTTTTGGGGCGGATTCTTTGGGAAGTCATATCATTGAAAAACATCATTGATCCAATCAATAAGCACTTCTACTTCTACATGTAGATGGGTGATGCATTTGGTGTTTGCTTTTTGCCGGTGTCCATGATACCCTTTTAGACGACTCTTGACGGTCACTGGAGTCGACTGTTCTGCCACGGTGAGGTGGCCAGACAGGCGATGTTGGATCAGTCGACCTTGGCTCAGGCGGTTTTGGGCGGAGATGGGAGCGTCTCAGTGGGTGAGGCTTTTTGTTGTTTGATCCAAGTTGATTTGGCGGATATGATTTGTGCCATTCTTGGACCCATGTTGATTTGGCAATTTTGTTGTTCCTTCGAAACATCAGCTCTTGATGTCAACATTGTAACATATTTTCAATCCCCACAAGCATGGACCGTAGAGCATGGACCGTAGAGCATGGGGTTGAAACATCCTCAAGAATCTTCCCCGTCACACGAGTCCAGCCGTCTCGTGTTCGTCGCCGCAACGGGCTTTCGAGCTGGTAGAAAAAAATAAGAAAACACAAGAACAACTTGGCTTTTCGAGAGGTGATGCATTGTGGCATCAGAGATGGCATTGGGAATGTGGTCCCAGCGTCTTGGCCTATTGTAGGTGACGCCTGGGACCTGGAGCTGGACCAGTCCTGTCAGCGGAATCAGAAAAACATCTGCCAGAGGGTGTGTTTGTCCATTTGCCCATGTGAAGTTGTCAGTGTGGTGACATTTTGTTCTGTTGTGTGTGTGTGTGTCAACTCCTGTCTCCAAGAATTTCGACCACACTCAGGAAGACAATTTCAACTCAAGCTTTACAGTGCAGGGGGGCAGTGAGTCTCTCACCATCCACTGCCCAACGAGGACGGTGGCTTGAGACTGTGATATTCCCGAGGGACGCCTCAGGAACGTACCTGCACCCATGTTCACTTCTGGTAAAGTGCTAATGCGGTAAAGGGCTAAAGCGTTTGTTGCAAACTGTACAAGTGATCCGACCCTTCACCTTGCTGTTCCTGCGAGTCAAGGTCTAATGTAATCAGTAACTAACACACGGTGACGTCGCAACTGATATGATACAGCTCTTGCGAGCCGTGATCAACAGGGTCCCACAGAGGTCTGTTGTGTGATCCCCGCCAGGGGGCGCCTCTTGCACAGGCCCTTAAGGGTGAATCTTCACTGACTATTCGTCTTGCGTGAACCCGCTGGCTCAGCTGTTTGCTCGAGACTGCTGATTTGATGGTGCAGAGCATACTGAGGCTTGACAACAAGAATGACATGCATCATGCGTCTAAGTAACCAATTTGCACAGCTTTCTACCATGCGGCTAAGTTTTCACTTTGTGGTGGCTTTCTCTCCTGCTGTTCCTCTTCGTTTCCTTGGTTTTCTTTCGTTGCTAGAGGCGTTTTAGGTTTCAGGTCCACTTTTAGTCATGTGCTAAGTATTCACTTCTACGTTTCGCACTGAGTAATTCATGCACGGTCCTCCTTTTTCTCCTTCTAGGATTTTTCGTTTCTCTCCAGGTTTTCCTTCGTTGCTAGAGGCTTTGAAGGTGTCAGGTTAAGGTTTAGTCAAGGGTGCGCCGATTTCGGCTTTCTGGCCAGTGCCATTGGGCCCGTGCCTTTTACCCCACCCCATACGCACCCCGCACCTGTTCTCTCCTTGCCTTCTTTCGTTTGTTTTGTTTTTCTCTCAGGCTTGTTAGGTTGCGTTTAGGCTCGTTTAGGCCATGCTTTTGTCCCCCCCGCCCCCCAATGCCCCAAGTGAGAATTCAGGGAGCGCCGATGTCGGCCAATTGTGTGTGTGTGTCAACTCCTGTCTCCAAGAATTTCGACCACACTCAGGAAGACAATTTCAACTCAAGCTTTACAGTGCAGGGGGCCAGTGAGTCTCTCACCATCCACTGCCCAACGAGGACGGTGGCTTGAGACTGTGATATTCCCGAGGGACGCCTCAGGAACGTACCTGCACCCATGTTTAATCCTCCTTCTGGTAAAGTGCTAATGCGGTAAAGGGCTAAAGCGTTTGTTGCAAACTATACAAGTGATCCGACCCTTCACCTTGCTGTTCCTGCGAGTCAAGGTCTAATGTAATCAGTAACTAACACACGGGGACGTAGCAACTGATACAGCTCTTGTGAGCCATGATTCAAGTGTTCTATTGTGTTCTTACAAAGTTCACAATACAATACAGTATACTGTACTTTTTGCACATGACATCAAACACAAATTGGTCACTCTTCATTCATGGGCGAGCTGGATGGTTCTATGAGCACACTATATGGGAAAAAAACGCGCTGGTTACCAGCGACGGCGGGTATGAGCAGATGTTGGCAGTTCTCTGTTTATTTTGAGGTTCAAGTCTTCCACATCGCGCTCTTTGATTCCTTTCTTTCTTCAAGACATTTGGACGCTTGGTGGAAGGAAGGTGTTGACACTGCGGGCCCTCTGCTCTGCGCTTCAGAATGGGAATTGACACACACACACACACACACACACACACACACGCACTCAATCCACGCGAATAATCTCCGACACCCCCGCAGCAGATGGTTTTTGTTTTCTTTGAAACGAACTCGCGATCATTCAACCTTCCGCGTTGGCTCCGGAAACTTCCATGAGGTGGGCTTGCGTGAGTTTGGAGATGCAAATCATTGTGACGTGGCAGAATCTATGACCATCCATGACCATCCACCACCCTCCTCCAACAATTATGGAAGCTGACCAGGATCCCTTGTGGAGGAAAATGGTCTTCCACGGGCCTATGTTCCACTTCTATATTTCAGAGAGTCCGGGAGTGTAACTGACACACACATCACTGGACCACACGTACGCTACGTTGTTTTTTCTGCAATTCTTCTCGGCGCGTCTGACAGGTTTGGAACCGAACACCTCTATATATAGTCTTAAATATGTATATCTATATATTTATATATTGTATATTATATATATATTGGGCCTGTCCTATTGCCTGTAACAGTCAGTAAACAAGTGTCACTATTTCTGAACAAGGCCCTTAGTAACCATCATCATCCACTGTTACTGCTAATAGGATAGACCCAATATACATATATCATATATATATATATATATATACCAGCACCACCCAGTTCGGGTGATTATTAGATGGAAAATGCATCTTCAGGGGGTCTATAAACCACCCGAACTGGGTGGCGCTGGTATATATACATATGCACAGTATGGTATCTCGGAGGGAGAGCGAGCAAAATGAGAGTAAACGCCTGAAACGTGGTGGCGCTTATACTCTCTGGTAGAGCCCTGTTTGGGAGAGTTGGTGATGCAGAAAATGCGAGTCTAAGCTGTTGCGGCACCACTCTAGAATACTTGCATGCGTTAATCGCCGGAACACTGCACCAGACCGGATGATGATGGTTCACTTCAGCTATTGAATACTAGTACTATATTACAAGAATATTGACCCAGCGGATCTTCTTACAGTACATTTTTTGAGGTCGCATGCTGCATGAAGGAGGTTGAGGTATCATGCTTTGGGTACATTCCATGAAATAATCATAGAAGTGGATGGCAAGGCCCCTTGGATGACCATTCAATTCAATTACCAAACAAGTATCACCGGGTCACATTATCACCGTGTCACATAATAAATGTATTTTATATTATATATTCAGCGGGGGTACCCCTCAGAAAAAGATATTCCTGGTCTCCAGATTTCATTCCAGAGCATGTGATTTTACACCTTTTCTTTTTTTGTGGAAGACTATAGTTTATATGTTGATTATGCATGTCCCCCGCCCCCTAAACCATTGAAAAAAGGAAGGAGTCTGTGTCCTCAGGACGGTTCCCGGGATTCCCGTTGCTTAAACATACATGAAAACAGACAGATTCCCAGTGTCCCGTTGGAGAGCAGAGACACCGAGGGAACAAGAAAATTACTTTACTTCGAGTGATCCCCACCATGACATTTCAATCATTTGTGTTGATGCCACAGTGAGGTGCATCTTGCCATGGTCGTGAGTATTGTAGTTCTCGACTTTGCTTGTGGGTCCTCGGGTTGTGTGGGTGGTTGTGTGTTGTATTTGTGGTTGTGTGCTGTGTTGTGGTTGTGGTTGTGTGTTTGTGGTTGTCTTTGTGATTGTGTGTTTGTAGTTGTGGTTGCGGTTGCGTGTTTGTGGTTGTGTTTGTGTGTTTGTGGCTGTGTTTGTGGTTGTGTGTTTGTGGTTGTGTTTGTGATTGTGTGTTTGTAGTGTTTGTGATTGTGTGTTTGTGATTGTGGTTCCTGGTTGTGGTTGTGTGCTGTGGTTGAGGTCCGGCAGGGAACACTGGGTGCGGATGGTCGTGGTTGAGGTCCGGCGGGGAACACTTGGGTTTGGAGCTCGCGGTTGTGGTGCGGCGCGGAACACTGGGCGCGGATGGTCGTGGTTGAGGGCGCGGATGGTCGTGGTTGGGCAGGGAACACTGGGCGTGGATGGTCGTGGTTGAGGTCCGGGAACACTGGGCGTGGATGGTCGTGGTTGAGGTCCGGCAGTGGAGGACGAGGAGGAGAAGAAGGAGGCGGAGGAGGAGGAGGAGATGGGGCTGACATAAAATCTTTCAACCCTCACCTGACAGGTGGGGCAACATGTTTTAAGTTGATGCATCCATCTTCTCTATTATGTTCACGCCCCTGATAGAAAACGGCTTGTCGAATAAACTCCCCCATACAGTAGAAAACATCTACACTACTTTACTTCGAGTGCTCCCCGCCATGAAATTTCTATCGTTTGTCTTGATGCCATAGTGTGGAGCATTTTGCCATGGTCGTGGTTATTGTAGTTCTCGATTTTGCTTGTGGGTCCTCGGGTTGTGTGTGGGTGGTTGTTTGGGTGGTTGCGCGTTTGTGAATGTGTTTGTGGTTGCGTGTTTGTATTGTTGTGGTTGTATGTTTGTGGTTGCGTTTGTGGATGTGTTTGTGGCTGTGTGTTTGTGGTTGTGTGTTTGTGATTGTGTGTTTGTGGTTGTCTTTGTGATAGTGTGTGTAGTTGTGGTTGTGGTTTCGTGTTTGTGGTTGTGTTTGTGGTTGCGTGTTTGTGGTTGTGTGTTTGTGGTTGTGTGTTTGTGATTGTGTGTTTGTGGTTGTCTTTGTGATAGTGTGTGTAGTTGTGGTTGTGGTTTCGTGTTTGTGGTTGTGTGTTTGTGGTTGCGTGTTTGTGGTTGTGTGTTTGTGGATGTGTGTTTGTGGTTGTGTGTTTGTGGTTGTGTGTTTGTCGCTGTGGTTGTGGTTGTGTGTTTGCGGTTGTGTGTTTGTGTTTTTTTTGTGGTTGTGTGTTTGTGATTGTGTTTGTGGTTGTGTTTTTAGTTGTGTGCTTGTGGTTGTGTGTTTGTGGTTGTGTGTTTGTGGTTGTGTGTTTGTGGTTGTGTGTTTGTGGTTGTCTGTTGTGG